TTGGAATCAACTCAACAGCAACAGATTTTTTTAGGATACTAAGAAGTTATATGTGAGGAAATCACTGTGTAACTATGTTTAGAAACTGTCAAAACAGTTTATATTGCAACTGTTTTGAAATTACCTAATTTAGGAAGATACTATTCGAAGCAAAATAAAAACTGATAAAGTGAGGGAAATTAACTGGGCCAATAACCTTACTAAGAGAGCTTTTTCCTGATGTGGGCATATCAACAGAGAGACTTAAAGAGCCCGCTGTATACACGTTTGACAAACTACAGCTGGCTCTTCATCTACCACCCCTTTACTTTTTGTTTGTTTTAACGTGTGTCTAATCCTGAAACAGGGATTCACACAAAGACTAATTACTTTTTACAAATCATAGAAATTAACAGTACTAGATAATGTATTTTAATAAAAAGCTTCAATTCTCAAATCAACAGCAGCAGCTTCGATGACTGACTAAATCTACTAAATCTTTCTTGACTGCAACTATCTTAACTTTACTGAAGCTAAAAATGCCACATATAGTTTGGCCAGCAAAACTTAAGTGATGAAATTAATCAGTGATTGACTGGAAAATGTGAGGTTTAATGTTTTAGGTAACTGTCCAAATTCTCTTTTGTAACCATTAATTATGGAGAACCTACAAAAACCTGTTGCCGTCGAGTCGATGCGACTCATAATGACCCTGTAGGACAGAGTAGAACTGCCCCATAGGGTTTCCAAGGAGTGGCTGGTGGATTCGAACTGCTAACCTTTTGGTTAGCAGCCATAGCTCTTAACCACTGCGCCACCAGGGCTCCTGGAGAATTACAAAGGATGCTTAATACGGAATAAAAGAAGTACAGAAATTTCATGACGCTGGTGAGTGGGCACACAGACAAAGGAAGAGAGAAATAATTATACAAGCATTCTGTAATATGGAAGGTTTGCAACATTATTCAATTACAATTTAAAACACAGAGTCTATATACAAAGTTGCTTAAGCAAAAGCTATTCATAGCATTTCATTTTAATCACGGCACAGAGACATCATATATAACTACATTTACACAGAATTTATATGAAGAATAAAATACTAATAATCACGATGCTTCTCACATATCTTTATAATTCAAGAGTAGTAATAAATATAAGTGACTTGTGAATCTGAATGTTTTGCCTATGGTTTGAAGGTCACCAATACCAAATTAGTTATGAGAACTACGATCTCAAGATAAATAAGTTACTATTTTGAATAAATCATTTCCTTAATTTAGTGAAAAACTACACGGAAAAGACTACACCAGAAAATTCCATTTTTTCAAATTCCCACTGTTATTTCAAGTCAACCTCTAATGGGTTCTTATATAAAAATAAATTAAAAAAATAAAAAGCATAGATCAGGTAGTAAAAAGAAAAACTACAGAGCTGATGATCAGGGTCTCAATTAGCATGGGACCATATTATATTATTTAGCCTAGGGACTCTTGATATTGTCAAGAATCAGATGCAAGTGTATGGGTATCATGCTAGATGGTATGAGGTTGGATACAAAGATAGAAACTAGACTGGGCATGCCTTTAAAGAGATCACAACTCAAGGGTATGAATAATAGAAGCATTCGAATAACCTCAACAGCAGGCCAGGTCATTTAAGTGCATAGAAGAAGTATAAAGAGCTGGGAGGGTTAAAGGAAGTTAGAGGGAAATAGGAAAGGCTTGAAGGAGGAAATGGAATTTGAAATAGGGTTTGAAGGATGACTAGAATTTTGAGAGGCAGAAAT